TAGTTACTGGATTCCAATACAGTCATAACCAAACATTTTCATTTTCCTTCCAATGTTTTCTAAATTTCAAAGTATTTATCCATTCCAAAAAAGCACTTCATTCTTTCCATCCAACAAGTATCCATGATGGGGCAACTCATATTTGATCATTTGGTTGGTGGAAAGCATTATAGTAAAGACTAATTGAAAAAGCTTGGCTCCTAAGACAAAAACCATACATTTCAAGTGACTGAGCACATCTTATCACCCTAATCTTTACTTATGTTTAAATTTTGATCTTATGTGATTGGAATTTTAGAACTCATTCTACTTAATTACATATTTTGAGACACAGTCTCATTCAATCACCCAGGCTGGAGTGCAGTGATGCAGTCACAGCTCACTGCATTCTCTGTCTCTTGGGATCAAGTGACTCTCCTGTCTCATCTCCTGAGTTGCTAGAACCACAGGCATGCACCACCACTCCGTTTTTTTTGTTTGTTTGTTTTTTGTTTTTTTTTTGGTAGTAATGAGGTCTCGCCACATTGCCCAGGCTGGTCTTTAACTACTGGCCTCAAGCAATCCTCCCACCTCAGCCTCCTGAATAGCTAGGACTACAGGTGCAAGCCACCATGCTCAGCTATCAGTTTTTTGTTTTTTTTTGTAGAGACAGGATGTTGCTATTTTGTCCAGGCTGGTCTTGAATTTCTGGACTCAAGGAATCCTCTTTTGGCCTCTCAAAGTGTTGGGATGACAGGTGTGAGCAATCACGCCAAGCCGAGAGAGCTCATTCTAGTTCAGCACCTTTCACTTAAGAAACTAAGGCCTACAGAGGGAAATGAACTTATCTAAGGTAGTTAATTAGTTGCAGAACACAATCTGTTATCACCCACTTAAGAATTCTTTCCATTGTACTAATTAACAGGATAGTTATGTCAACTTTTAAAAATAAAGGTAAACAAACATCTAAGTTCCAGAGGCAACTAGGTTTACATAGCTGACAGATTCTTTCAAGAACTGTAGGTGACTTACATTTTGGGCAGCAAAACTGCATTTTTAAGAAAAGGGAATTTATTAAAGAAATGTTGCTGGCTGAGCATGGTGGCTCATGCCTTGTAATCCCAACACTTTGAAAGGCCGAAGCAGAATTGCTTCAGGCTGAGAGTTACAGGCTAGTCTAGGTGACACAGCAAGACCCAGTCTCTGCAAAAATACTACTAATAAAAGCTGGGCATGATGGTGCATACCTGCAGTTCTAGCTGCTCAGGAGGCTGAGGTGGGAGGATTCCTTCAGCCCAGGAGTGAGGTTACAGTGAACTATGATGGTGCCACTGCACTGCGGCCTGGATGACAGACACTGTCTCTAAAAAAAGAAATACTGCTTTTGAAGTGTTTGAAAGGCAAAGACTAGTTACTGCCTTACATGCTTAAGTGAGTTTAAGGCAACTGGTGTGCATTACCACACAGCTAATTTTTGTAGTTTTTTGTAGAGACAGGGCATTGCCACATCGCCCAGGTTAGTCTCGAATCTGAGCTCAAGTGATTTGCCTGTGTTGGCTTCCCAAAATGCTGGGATTACAGGCATGAGTCACTGTGCTGGGCCAAAGTTAATTTTTGCAATGTTACTAATAGTAGGAATTGTCTTTTACCTTAATACTTCACTTTTTAAGCTAGGAAACTCAATTCACTGTTCACTTTTTCTATGATTAGAAATTTACCAAGTTTTATGAAGGACTCATCATAGGTACAAAGAGTTTATGATTGGTGTATTTTTGTAGGTGGGGTGGTAGGGCAAGACTAATCTATGAAATAATCCTAATTAAGAAATCAAGGCAATTTCAATAACTGTAAATATAGGGACTAAAAGTGGGAGTCCTTTTGGGTTGGACACATGAGGGGGAATTTTACTGTTTCATCCATCAGTTGGAAGAGTAACTAACATTTGAGGGTGCCATAAAAATATAATTTAGTCCTCAAATAGCTCTTCCATTTATTAAATGGAATGCTATTCATTTCTTCCTCTAAGAGTTGTTCTTCTGGGACAAAGTGTTTATCAGAGGTTTCTCTCTAGCTCCAGAGAGTGCTTCATTATTAGTCTCACGGGTTACAGTGGCAGAAAGGTAACCAAAGGGCTTTGGAAGTATGGAAGAAAGGGAGGCTGGCAGTGCTTCTTACTTAGTTTCCTTTAGTTTTATTTACAGAATAAAAAGCCAATTCTGAAGGGTAGGTAGGGTTTAAATATAAAGGAAAAGAATCTTCTCTTTGGGATTCAGTCATGGTAACTACATTTAGGTAATCTAGAACTAGTTGCTATCAGGAACTCGACTTGTCTATTGTCCACCAGACCCACCTTCAGATGCTAAAACCCATTTTCACTAGCCATGCATGGCATCCATAATTTAGTCTTGATACATTACAGATAAAGTGAACAGCTGGCATCAATAACTAAGATGGGTAGGCATTAAAAAGGTCTAGTAGCAGATAGCAGGGTACCACATAACAGACGTGGATTTAAATGCAGGAATGTAGACTCTCCAAGGAGCTTAGGGGAAAAGGACTAGAAAACAAGAATGGTTTATATTTTAAGAGGCTGACATCTTGGACAGATAATCTCATCAAGGGCTTGGACTCAGCAATCACAGGAGTCTAGTCGCCAGGCTTGAGATACATGCTGGACACAGATATTAAGGCACTACACATCCTTCTCAAACTAGGGTATAATTCTGGGACTAGTAAATAAAAAGCATTGTTTATACAATAAATTATGATACATCCTTTGGAGAATTAGTAGTTGATAGCAATTTACTCTATAATTTACATGAAAATAAAGTCATATTTTAAAGTAGACTGCCAATTTTGGGTGAATTTAGAAGTAAACAGACTTCCAAGAAATGTCCAGATTCTAATAGGTAGTTTCAGGCTGTACTTCCAAGTCACTGTTCAATAGTCTTAGAAAAGTTCGGAAGGCAATGACGGGAAAAAGAACTGTCTTTGATAAAGACGTATTTTAAACTAAATTCTGCTACTTACATATGACCTAGGGCAAGTCCAGAAATGACTGAATCTCATAAGATTATTGTAAATATAGATAACATACAAAGCATCTATTAAAGTGCCTGACAGGCTGGGTGAAGTGGCTCATACCTATAATCCCAGCACTCTGGGAGGCCTAGGCAGGCGGATCACCTGAGGTCAGGAGTTCAAGATCAGCCTGGCCAACAAAACAAGGTGAAACCCTGCCTCTACTAAAAATACAAAAATTAGCCAGGCATGGTGCCATGTGGCTGTAATCCCAGCTACTTGGGAGGCTGAGGCAGGAGAATCACTTGAACCCGGGGAGGCGGAGGTTGCAGTGAGCCGAGATTGCACTACTTCACTCCAGCCTGGGCTAAAGAGCAAAACTCCGCCTAAAAAAAAAAAAAAAAAAAAATTAGCTAGGGGTGGTGGTGCACACTTGTAATCCCAGCTACATGGGAGGCTGAGACATGAGAATTGCTTGAACCTGGGAAGCAGAGGTTGCAGTTAGCTGAGATCGTGCCACTGCACTCCAGACTGGGCAACAGAACGAGGCTCTGACTCAAAAAAATAAAATAAAGTTCCTTACAGATAATTAAGTGCTTAATAAAGGGGAAAAAACCTGGACTAGAAGTGTGTAATCTTGTTGTCTTGGATTAGGAAAGGTCCCATGACCTGGTAAACTGTTGAGTCTCCAGAGAATAAAAATTCAGATTAGAAGGGTGAAGTATAGATTCAAGTTTAACTGGAACATGGTTAGACACAGCAGAGAACTAATACATACTGTACACCTGTTCCTGATCATCTACTATTAGGAGTTTTATATTTATACATTCACATTTAATCTTCATAACCCTTCAAAGGAAGCATAATTGTAATTTTATAGATGAAACAACTGAGGTTCAAGAGGTTCAGATTACTGTACATTACAAAGTAAAAAGTAGGTACTAGAACCTAGTCATTTTACCACACTCTGCCTTAACGGTGGTGGGGGGCGGTACCCCTACTCCTTAAAATGGGAGATAAGTTTCAATAAGTGAGATAAAATAATGGCTCTCTACAGTAGCTCTTGACAACAGGAGTAACATGAATATTTAACACTGAGTTGGTGAACTGTGTTGCATGATGTGACATAGGAAGAGTAGCCCAGACAGGAGATCCAGTCAGGAATTTCTTATAGTATTAGAAGAACTGATTTCTAATCTAAGCATCTCTAAAATCTCATTAATTTATACTGTATATGGAATTTACAATAATCTATATAGGAAATGAGAAAGAAACAAAGTATCTGAAAATGCTCTTCAACGCCTCTTTCCCTTAATAGTTCAGCCTGAATCACAAAACTATGACATTCCTCAGTGACTTCTGCATAACTGAATTCTAGTTAATCAAACAAGTTAGCCAAAAACCTCAAAAGGGTAGCATTGTGTACACGTGCTACCATACCCATCAATGAATGTAGGAAATGCCCATTCCATTTTTTGTTGGTTCACTTTCACTAGCATTTATTTCCTTTACTGAGCATTTAATTTAGTAAAGCCTTTTTCCAGATAATGTAGATAGAGAAGAATAAGACTCAGTAAGACTCTCTATGAACCCAATCTTAAAATATTGGGAACCATGAGACCATCAAGGAGTTCACAGTTGAGACAGACACAAACATTAAATACAAGTGTGAAACAGAATCAAAATAGGAAGATACAGAGAATGCAAGTACCTACAAGTCAAAGCGTTGAAGCAAATAGGAGCCTATCAGAAAGATGGGGACAGAATTGCTTTTTGAGACCTAAAACCATAAAACAGTGTGATATGCTTACAGAATGGCAAGAAGTTCCATGGGATTGGAGAGCTGCAGGGTAGACAGGGAAAGACTGGAAGGGATTAGATCTTGAAGAGACAAGTTAAGGGACTGGGACTCTATCTTTCAGATCATTATTTCCCAGTTATGATCATGGAACCCTTTACAATTTGCAACGTAAGGAAGAAATACCAAGAGTAACACTATGTTTAAATTTTTGATTCTTTAGCTTTTTAACTAAATAGCATAAAAAATTGAATTATTTTATTTAAAACCCCCAAATACCAGAGATGAAGTAAATCATCTTTTATTTTCATCTTACATTTGGTTATCATGAGACATGCAAACCCCTCCAACTTTAATGAGAACAGTGTTTTTGTGTCTTTTTATCACATATCCGCTTAATATTAGGAGTAATGTTGCTGAGTCGGATTCGCATATGAGGTGCAGCATCAAGTCTTTTCCTATATTTTGTTTTTGTTGCAGCATAATATGAAAACCCTGTTTCACACAGGTGCATTGTAGCAAAAGGAAGAAGTATACGCACTGCACGTCTTGCAATGCATGGGTATTCCTGAATTAGGCTACTCCAAAAATCATTTAGTGAAAGTTCACTGAAATTTTGCTTCACTTGAGAATCAGACGTTAAATCGATCAGGCTCTCATAGTCCCGTGCTACTAATGAGGCTGGTTTAACAGTAACTGTAAATGGATTTCTAACCCAAGCATTATTGTCATTTGTTACAGGAAAGTATTTTAACAGAGTAGAGCGCAAACCCCTAAGGTGCTGCACAATGGCACTGCAAATATCTTTATCAACTGTAGAATTATTTTCAGTCAAAAAGTCACTGAGTGTAGGAAAACAATCAAAGTTCTCTTCTTCTACAGATGAGGCCCAAAATTCCAATTTTCTTAACAAAGATGACATTTTATCAAATACTGTAAAAACCGTCACATTTTTTCCTTGCATTGACAAATTAACTTCATTTAATTTAGTAAAAATATCTGCAAGATATGCAAGTCTTAGCAGCCAAGATGAATTTGTTAAACAATCAGATAGTCGAAAAGCAGAATCCATGAAAACCAAAAGTTCACGACGAAGTTCAAAAAGTCTTACAAGAACTTTACCTCGAGAAAGCCACCTTATCTCTGTATTTAGAAGAAGTGCTGTGTGCTGAGCACCCATTTCCTCACATAAAATTTTTAGTAGTCTGGATTGATGTGGTCGAGCTTTAATATAATTGATGATTTGTACTGCCTGGTCTAGCACGTTTTTTAGAGATGTAGGCATTATTTTAACTGCTAGTGCATGTCTATATAATAGGCAGTGACTGCTGGTGCTTTCGGGAGCCACGTATTTTATTAAGGTGACAGCCTCGGCAATTTTCCCATCCACTGCCCTAGAAGCATCACTACAAACATCAACACATTTTTCCCATTCTATTTCATGTTTCTGCATAAAATTGTTAATACAGTTGAATATTTCTTCACCTGTAGCATTACTTTGCAAAGATTCACACAGGAGTAGGTCTTCCTCAATAGACTTATTAAACCTATAACGAACAAACACAAGCAGCACAGCGAGTCCTGAAACATCAGCTGATTCATCTAGTTGCAGTGAAAACCCATCACAAATTTTCAGTCTACAAACGAGCTCTTCTTCAATGTCAGCAGCTAGATCCTTAATTCGACGTGCAACAGTACTGTTTGATAGCTGTACTGCATCTATTTTTTTACTATATTGCTCATCAAACATTCGCATTACTACATCTTTTGCACAAGGTTTGATAAGCAATTCTCCAATAGTATGAGCCTCTCCACTCAGTGCTATATGGTAACTTACATTGTATGATGCTTCTGTAGCACTTTCATTATCTGTATTCACAATTTTAGGCGTTGGGGGTTTATTATTTTCAGGTGAATCAAGATGTTGCTTGAAAAAGCTTATGTCTTTGTCTTTATATGCAGCATGTTTAGTTTCCAAATGTCTTCGAAGCTTACTAGGGGCTAAAGAGCTATTTGATAAAATTTTCTTACATAATACACACTGAGCATGAGGTGCATCTCTATTTCCGAAGTAAGTAAATCCAAAAGACAAATAACTTTCATCATATTTTCTTCTTTTTGGTTTTTTACTAAATGTTATTTTGTTGGAATTGGATATAAATTTGACCCTGGAAAGCTCATCTTCTGATTTTTTAGAAACTGAAGGCTGCAACTGTTTATCTTCACTTTGTAATATTCCAACCTTCTGATCATTTGATTCAGACACAATCTGATAACAGAAAGATTCCACTTCTTGTTTAAGACTTCCTTGTTTCAGTAACAGATCCATGGGCAATGAGTTTGTGGTACAAAACATAGTTAATTTAGAACAGACATTGAGTATCACAAATGTGTTGAAATTATAGGACAGGATACAAAGAAGACGAGCAATCATCAAAGAGATGATACACAGCAACACATCAGTTAATTTGTAAATGCTGCCTATGCATCAATGCGCAGATGGAACATCATACGTTCATGTATCAGGTGATCTCTCATGCGACTTCCTGGTGCTCTCAGGTATGGTACACTTTTTCTTAAAGGTAGATTATCACATAAAAATAAAAGCTATAGAAATGAGTTTAGTAGTCTTAATCTCTATATTTAAAGAAACATATTAACATCAACCATAAAGAAAAACTATTAGCATCAATCTTTTTCTCAAGACATTTATTAACTTAGAGAATATTAATATTCTATAAAACATAATTTGGGAATAACTGAGCCAAGAAACTATTAAGAGTTGTCACACATATTTTTAAGAAAGAGATCTTGAAGAATATGTCCCATGGTGGGGGTTGGCAGGGTTTTTTGTAAAGGGCCATATAGTCTCTTATGCAACTACTCAACTTTGTAGTTTTAACATGACAGCAGCTATAGACAATACATAAAAGAATGGGCACAGGTGTGTTCCAATAAAACTTGAGGTACAAAACCAGACAGCACGGGCCATAGTTATCAGCCCTGTCTCATGGTATACAGTATTGTGAAATCTCTTTTAGCTTTCAATTCTTACTGCTACTAGATGTATTAGTTGTTGATACTATTATATAACTTGAAGACACCTCAGGGCTATCAACAATTCTGAAGAAGTGAAATAAACATACACACAGTTCCAAGTTTTGCAAGACACACAATTCTACTGTATCCAAATACTCTGTGTTAACAATGCAGAATAAATTGTAGATCAAAAGTTAGGTACTGTTTCTCTGGACTTAAATTATATAAATGTTTATATTATCCAAATTAAGACTCAATGGAAGTAATATATTTTTATGGATTACTCAGCGTTCTATTTATACGACAGGTGAAGACTTAACCAGGACTTAGAGAAAATATAAACTCTCACTTAATAGGTTTATGCCTCATATAATAAAACAAATCATAATTAAAAGGATAATGCAATCTAAGGATTGCTAAAGAATACTATTAGCTCTATAAATTAAGGCATATAAATTATGTCTGCCCAAATATAGCTACTTTAGGTTTAAACTTTATAACCTCGCTATAGATATAGGGTAGGTTTTGCATTCTCATGTTAGATCCTGAATAAAAAATGGTTCTCCTATTAAAGGGTAGAGGGTAAGATACCTGAAATAAGGCGTTCTCCTCTCTGTAATCCCTCTCTCCACCTTGGCAGCTTGAAATGCACGCTTCAAAATAATAAAAATAAGGGATGGGGTGGGAAGGGGAGTAACCAAAAGCCTAGAATGAGAAAAATTAAAATTAGACAGGATAACAAGCAGAACTATAAGCCTGTAAGATGACCATTCTTTCTGGATCTAAGCAGTGCAAATGATTCTTTACTGCATTGCAGATCTTAGACTGAAACAGAAGACGTCTCGCTTAGTAAAAATTCTAACATTTTCATCCTGTTCAATATTCTGGCAATTTAGCTGCTTTGAGATGTTCCCCCATCCACTCACTTCATAAAAATAAGTTAAATAAACAACAACAACACACTTTCAAGAACTTTAAACCTAATTTTTAAAAGTACAGCCTCATCTTAATGTCTCTAAACCTAGACCTTGAATCTAAAATGTAATTATACATAGCACTATTACATGAAATAGTCCTTTCACTACTATCACTTTTAGTCCCCCAATAACCAATCTTATCAGGGAAACAATGTTTAATGAGTGATCATTGTTTATTATATGCCAATAACTGTGCTAAGTTCCTCATATAGATGATCTCATCTATGAAGAGACAAGGAGTATTAATAACCCCACTTTAGAGATAAACACACACAGAGGCATTAACACATCTCGCTAAGTTAACACCTCTTCTATGTGAAAAGTCAAGTACAGAGCCCAAAATGTTTGACTGCACAGCCCATGTGTCTAGCCATTACTTGTGTGTTCCTCAATGGTTTTAATACCCCAAGTACTAAAAAATCTGGTTACTAGGAGTTCGGCTACACAGAGAAATAGCTGAATGGGTTACAACTGCCAGAAAGTCAAGGGTCTTATACTGGCAACAGCAGAAAGCCCCACTTCTTATTGGGAGCAAAAAAGCAGATTCTCCCTCCATAGTTTCCATTTGGATTTTGCATCGGAGAACTTTGTGCAGATGCTGGTTCACCTAAGATTAGAATCCCTCTCCCTTGTCGCTAGAGAAGGACACAGAAGAGTAGGAAGCTTTTGTTTTCAGAAAGGAGGTTCTCATCCCCACCTCTTCAAAGGTGATCCCCCAGAATTTCTGGAGGACAAAGAATCTGGACTCCCTTGAGAGTAAAGTTCCCATTCCACTCCCTGAAGAGCGGGGAAAACCTTCGTCTTTGGTTTCCTTCCGGGTAAACTGACAGGTATCACAATCCTTCCCCCCTCCCCCCCCTCGGGCGGTTCCGGCTGGTAACAATACCCTTAGGGTCAGGAGGGCAGGGTAGGAGTGCAGGTCAACCACAAAGGTGGGTACTTCAACACCTAAATGCTTTTCTAAACCGTCACCTGGATGTGCAGCCAGGGCCAACAATCCCTCAGCGCCTCCCTGGCACAGGTGCGCGCTGCCCGCAGATCTCCACGACTGGGAGGCTCGCCACCAGTCGCAGCCCACCCTCGCCTCAGGATTCCTGTCGCGTCCCCCGGCGGCCGCCTCCGCTAACGGCCACATGAAAACGTCTCAGCACCCAATACCATCTCTCTACTTCATGTCCATCAGCGATGGAGAGAACGGTTTTCGCCGCGGCTGGGCTGCAGAGCAGCGCCGCGGTCCCCTGCTGAGCCCGCGACCGCCATTTTACACAGCTCCGGGAAGCGGCCATTTCAGAGCGCACCGCTTAGGCGCGGCGGCGGCGGCTCTGCTCCTCACCTTCACCGAGGCCTGAGCAGGGTCAAGAGCCAGTCGTCGCGGACTGGAGGGGGAGGGGAGAAGGGAAGGGGAATGAAAAACAAAACAGAGGAAAGAAGGATTCGGGGACAGGGTGATGCGCTCAGCTCAGGGATATCGCCTAGGCCACCTCCATAGAGATCCGATTCGCGGCTGGCGCGGTCGCTGGTCTGAAGATAAATTTAGCACTCTGGAGCACCCGAACCCTACGGTCTTCACGAGCGACTTCGCCACCGCCCAATCAGCGCCAGTTTTGTGCCCCGCCACCAATCCGCGCTGAGCAGCGGGGCGGGACCACAGGAAAGGACCATGTTCGGTTGCGGCGCGGCCCGGCCTCCGCCACAGCGGCAGCCGCAGCCGCAGCGGTGCTTCCCCGGTGATAGCTGAGCGGCTGGGTATGAAGTAATTGTTCTCAAACTTAAATAGTCCGTCGGCCCGGGCACTTGTTGAGAGGGCAGATTCCTGGGTGCTGCCAGATACTGTTGGTGATCTTGTAGGGCTGGAGTGGAACCCATGAATCTGCATTTTTATCATTTCCGGCGCTTTGCTCGGACAGGGTTGATGCGTGTGGATTCGTAGCGGCCCCAAAGGAGCACGCAGAGCCCCGGCGGCTGTGCATTCGCCACCTCTTTTGTTCCCGGAGGCTGCACCCCAGGCCCGGTTTACACAGCCGCCGCCTCCTTTCTTTGGTTTTCCACTGGACTCCGGGAAGAAAACTGACCCTTTCCTTCGCCGTCCCACACCCGACGACGGAGTGTCTGGGGGCCTGGCCGGCCTGTGCAGAGGGCTGAGTGCGACCAGCGGGCGCTGAGCCGGCGCAAATCCCGCCGGACCTCTTGGGTGGCCCGGGGTGGGCTGTACAGGACTGCATAGGGAAAGGGGCCCGAAGCGTCCACTGGGAAGCTGAAAGTCCGCTTGATGTCTTTGCACCTCTCACAGTGGTGCCCTTCCCGCAGGAACGTCCGGCCGCCTGCACAGAACGGTTGCCTGCAGGGAAGGTCTAACCCGCCCCGGAATACTCTTTGTGGGCTGCAGCTTTCTGGTATTTTAAGCCATGGTTCTGTGCCCTTCCCTGTTTTCAAAACCACCACGGCCAAAGGCTGCGGGTTGTGTGCTTTCATTTTGGATCTGTGGTGGAGACCTGGAGTCTGTTTTTCCAAATAGGCACCTTGAAATAGATACGCTTCTTAAGGGGGCAAAGTACGAGTGGGTCCCATTATTTGCAATATTTTAGCCTTTCCAGACTCCGTAGAAATGACTAAATGAAGATTGGATCGTATTTTCAGGCACTGCGCCAATGACAGAAAATTCCCAACTTGGGGTCAAAAGCAAGGGCAGCTTTCCTTTTTCTTAAATATGCTTCTGATCAAGTACCTAAGGTGCTGAAAGAAGCCTAATCCTTAATAACACGATTTACAGGACTGCGCAATTTCCTAGGACTGACATTTAGTTCCAAATGTTTTAAAGTCATTTACGACATCATCTCACCTTGTAGTAAGTTGTCCATATGTACTCATTATTATTACTAAATTATTCATATGAAATCATTTTCGTTAAACTTTAACCATAAATGCATAAATCGTTTTTGGGAAGGGGGCACAGTCTTACTTGAAGGGCAAAGAATTTTATTTTGTAATTGCGGGAGTTGTCTGGCTTCAGAATAATATTGGAATAATCTCATATTTTCATGTTTCGTATACTAGAAAAACCTTTTATGTATGTGCTCCCAAACCGGTCTTTACACATCTAGTTTACATCTTCATAAAGAGGGAAAGCCCAAAACATTAAACTGATAGGCAGAATAGTGTTTAAATAAGTTCATCTAAAGTTTAGGACTTAGGTCCTGATAAGATTTGGCTCTGTGTCCCTACCCAAATCTTTTCTCGAATTTTAATCCCCACGTATGGAGGTATTAAAGCGATTGGATTATGAGAATGATTTCTACCATGCTGTTGTGATAGTGAGTGAATTCTTAAAAGATCTGATGGTTTTATTAATGGTAGTTTTTCTTGCATTCTCACTTGCTCTCTCTCCTGCCCTGCCATGTAAGACCTGCCTGCTTCCCCTTCCTCCATGATTGGAAAACTTCTTGAGGCTGCCCCAGCCGTGGGCAACTGAGTTAATTAAATCTCTTTCCTTTATAAATTACCCAATTTTGGGGATTTTTTTTTAATAGCAGTGTGAGAATGGATTAATACAGGGCCCCAAATCTGAAGTGTCTGATAATTAAGGTTCATGAAACAAGAACTTTTTTTGCAATCGTTTTATCAAATTATAGAATGTTGATGAGACAGATAAGAAAAAATAGACAATGTAGAACTCAGACCAATAATATGTAGCTAGCATTTAGTGAATACATAGTGTAGATCAGGGAGCTATTGTATACGCTTTTTTTTTTGAGGCAGGCTCTCAGCTCCATGCAACCTGGAGTGCAGTGGCACGCTCTCAGCTCCATGCAACCTCAACCTCCTGTGCTCAAATGATCCTCCCACCTCAGCTTCCTGAGTAGCTGGGACTACAGGTACATGCCACCATGTCCGGCTAATTTTTGTATTTTTTCGTAAGGATGGGGTTTCACCATGTTACCCAGGCTGATCTCTAACTCTTAGGGTCAAACGATCCACCTGCCTTGGCCTCCCAAAGTGTTGGGATTACAGGTATGAGCCACCAGTTCTGGCCTATACGCTTTTAAATGTATTAAGTATTTCCTGTTCACAACAACTTTATCAGATGATTAATATTATTTTGCAGATAAGGAAATTAAGCACAAAGAGGTAAATAACTTGCCCCAGTTCCAAGAACTAATTAGTGGCAGAACCTGGATTAGGTGTGATGCTGGTTGTGGGAACTACAAACTGTGTTTATGTGCCTACTTGATTTACATTAGACAGAAAACTACTGTGAATAAGATTACAGCAATATATTAGGTAAGGAAGTTGAGCCTCATCATTAAAAAGGACTCAGTACCTCTCTCAGTTCTTGGGAAAAAAAGACTCAGTTTGTTAACCTGTGGCTCAAGCCAAATAATGGCTGGAAGTAGTAACAAGAATTGTGACTGATACCCCAAATTTGCAGCCTCAGTTGCTGTAGGACATCTGAGATGACAATTCCATTCATGTTGGTTTTATGAGTTAATTTGTGTTGCACTAGGTTTTCCAGAAGCAGATGATCAGAGAGAAAACTATGAAGCCAGTATTGTAGGTCAGAATGTATCACCCCTTACCTTTATATACTCCTCCCTTCCTCCCTCAATTAGTAGACATGGGCTGCCCTGGGAAGGGCATGACTGCAGCTGAGGCACACCCTGAAAGAGCCGACAACAGGAGGCTATCTGCCAATCATACTACCTGCTCCTAAGCAGAGCAGAGTCCTTGCTTGAAAGAATATCTGAGTGCCGCATCTTCATGTTGGCCGCAATTTGGAACCTTTAACATAAAGATGGCAAATTAATAGTTTCATTATTTTTGTGAAAGTTCTTATTATTGAGGTGTTGTGTGCTTGGTCAGCCCTAAAGATGTATGAAACATTTAAGGGAATTTCTTCACCACCTGTATGATTGGTTTATTGGTATTAGATTTGCAAGAGTTATGTGTTTATAAAAATTTCACTGGCTAAATGTTAGATATATTTGTAATTGTAGTTTAAAATGTCTTAAGAAAATGAGATTAGTTGATTATGCAAATAATGTTAAATATTTAAAGAATATTTAGTCTGTTAACACTTGTGAATTAATTAAACCATAGCAGAGCATAAGTGAAAGTGATTGTCCATGTTTTTATGCAAAAATTGTGAGATTTATAAATAGACTAATGATATACATTGAGCTTGAAGGCTTGTGAAATACAATTTTACAGTTTCAATGTATTTTGCCTATGAATAAACAAACTAATGTCAATTATTAATTTTTTTTTTTTTTTGGAGACAGGGTTTCACTTTGTTATCCAGGCTGAAATACAGTGGTCCATCATGGCTTACTGCAGCCTTGACCTCCTGAGCTCAAGCAATCCTCCACCTCACCAAGTAGCTGGGACTACAGGTGTCGGACATATACTACATACAGGCATATACTACTCCATGCCTGGCTAATTTTTTTGTATTTCTTGTAAAGATGGGGTTTATCCATGTTACCCAGGCCTGTCTTGATCTTCTGAACTCAAGCAATCCTCCTGCTTCAGCCTCCCAAAGTGCTGGGATTTCAGGTGTGAGCCACCATGCCCAGCCATGTCTGACTGTATTGCTTGATAGGCCCTATCTATCAAGCAATCTATCTATCAGTGTGATAGCCTCTGACATCCCAAAACTTATGGAGAAAGCATGTTCCCCCAACTTTATTGGAAGAAAGGTTTCGTTCAAATTGGCTTATGTCTGTGAAGTAAATACACTGGTCAGTCAAGGAATGCTCTGAATGGCCAACTTGTTGGGACACATATTTCCTTCAGTTTTGAGGATATGAGTTTGCTATGCCACAAGAATTTCATGGAGTGGGTGAGTGACCAGTGCCTAAAAGGAAGGGACTGTGGGCCGATGGAAAAGTGGGAGATATCTACTAAATTTCCTTTTCTTGTCTGTCATATCTGATCAGCTACCAAGAAGTCCTTGGGCAGGCATGGTGGCTCATGCTTGTAATCCTGGTACTTTGGGAGACCAAGGCAGGAGGATTGCCCGAGCCCAGGAGTTTGAGACAAGAATGGGCAACTTGGTGAGACCCCCATCTCTATAAAAATAAAAAATATATAAAATAATAATAAAAGAATATGTAATAAAAACAATGAATATATAATAATAAGAAAAATTGTTCTAATCTCTTAGACCAACTTTTCTCTCCAATTCCTCTGCCATCAATCTAGATTTACTATTAATTTTCTCAACCAATCTCCTAGCTACCAGCCGATCTCTCAAATTTATCCTGTACACAGAAAAGCACTTTACCTAAAATACAGACATTAAAGTCTTTTTTTTTTTTTCTTTCAGATGGGGTTTCACTGTTACTTAGGCTGGAGTGCAGTGGTACCATCATGGCTCACTGCAGCCTCGACCTCCTGGGCTCAGGTGATTCTCCCACCTCAGCCTCCTAAGTAGCTAGGACTATAGGTGCACACCACCATACGAGGCTAATTTTTGTATTTTTTGTGGAGATGAGGTCTCATCGTGTTGTCTAGGCTAGTCTTGAACTCCTGGGCTCAAGTGATCCTCCTGTCTCAGCCTCTCAAAGTGTTAGGATTACAGGTATGAGCTATGGCGCCCAGCCTAAAGTCATTTTTTTTACTCAAAGTCATCCAATTATTGGGGTGATCATCTCTTTAACTAGGCATTTAAGATTCTCATTAAACTGGTTTTGCTTTTCTTTTTTTCTTTTTATAGAGACATAGTCTTGCTATGCTGCCCAGGCTGGTCTCAAACTCCTGGGCTCAAGCAATCTGCCCATCTTCAC